GACTGCCGGTGCTGGGCTGGATGTTCAAAGAAAAGGTCTCCTCTACACACCATGTGACTGATGCTACGTGGAGTAAGTGGGTCACGCTTATTACACAGCAGGCTCGAATAGGAAACCCCAATCGCCCAGGAATCTTGGAAGTGATCATGAGTTTTTTCCCAATTCTCTCCCCCATCCCACTGGATGGAGCGAGCAGCTGTGTGGTGCGTAGTTGCCGGCTGGGTCTAAACCACAAGTGCATAAGCTTACTGACAGCCTACTTGGAATTTGGGAAGTCTATTCTTGTTTAGGTCTTAGATAAGGAGCAACTAACAAAATTACCATTTAATTTCAGGACAAATAACCATTACTGCTACCTAGCTATCACCACATTGAAAAAGCTAGGGTCATTGTGGATACACTGTGAAAAGTGATCAGAAATGCACCAAAAAAAAAAAAAAAATCACTGAAAAGAGTTAATATGCTAGAAAACACAATGTTTTTAGGCATTGTTGATTTGTATTGCTACATGGTACATAGTACTAAAGAGGAAACCAGAGCTACGTGTAGCAGAACTCCTACAAAAGAGGGAGGGGACATGTGACAGTTCCTGTCAGGGAAAACTGGAAAATGTTTTTCCTAAATGGAAGCAAGAGCTATGGTAGCATCGAGACAGTGATGAGGAAGAAAAACAACTTGTCACAGAGAATGATGGTCACACTAGAATTAAGGCAGTGAAAAGAATGATTAGGCAGATCCACAAAAGGTAATGTTCAGGTCTTAACAAAAGATCTGAATTCACCCTATGGCTGATTTAGCTTTCTACTTCTATTGCTAGCTTTTACTCTGTGCACCCACTACTGGTAACAATTTAACTGGCTAAAATTAACTAAAGGAAGGCTAGCTCAAAGTATTGTCTGGAACACCAATTCATCTAGAGTTAACTAAATCACGTTATTATAGCATGTGTTATACAGCAGAGGCAGATCCTAAACTCATGCTATCAAAGTTTATCAGTTTTTGCCCTGAGCAAACTGATCATACACTTGCCTGGCCTCTACTCACTTGCTTAGAAACAAAGACTATCCCCATGCACAGAGATGGTGTCCATCCTCAACTCAACCCACACTCTGTTGGCCTGTTGCGTTGGAGGATCTTAACCATCAATTCCCCAAAAGATGCCCTATAGCTTTCATTTAAGCTGTACAGAAAAGCATCTAAGTAGGTTCCACAGAGGGGTTATTCTGAAGTGTTAAAAGTTTTAACTTGGATCATCAAGTGAACCAGAAGTTTGCTAAGTATTGTTCATCCCTGATGAAAAAGTCATTAAGAAAAATATTTGAGAACTTCTATATGAATTTGGGTTCTGTACTACAAGAAGAGATTTTTCCTTCACGGAATTTAAAACATATACTGCTATTATGCCTAACTCTCCCCCCAGCCCCCGCGAAATTTAGTCCCACAAGTGTGTTCCGTAGAAATAACTCTTACCTCTTCCTCACAAGCCAAAGAAGTATGCCAAGAGAAGTAACTAGTGCATGTCTGCTCATCAAAAGACAGAAAAACAGGCCGGCTGTCATCAACATCAGACTTGCATACAAAGCTAAAATAGCTTTTATGCTTCAGTTCAGGGTCTGCAGGGCAAGGATCTCCATCCTCATAGACAAGGTTTAATACTTGATCTTTGTAAGTTAACGTTTTACTCGGTTTTCCAGCATTAACTGGTTTTGGACCACCAGTGATGCAAACAGCTAAAGTAAAAAAGAAAAATTAACAAAACAGATAGAGTCTGATGTAACCACCCTCCAAAACTGCACCTTGTAAGATGAACAGCAGGAAACTTAAGATTTTAGTCTCACTTTAACTTTCATAGGAAAGATAGGCAGGCTTTTTCACACCATCCAGAGTGAGCAGCTTAAAATACAAGTTAACTTCTACTGATGTTTCAGAAGCATCCAAAACAGAGCAGAAAGTTAGAAAGAGGTTGGCATGTGTTTGAAGTGTGGACACATGGTTCAGTGCCGATGTACTACAGCAATACATCCCCAATAGAGCCATTTTTGTGCTCAGCTCATTCTAGGTGGAAGCTTGTAACTTCTTCCTTTTCACAACAGCCAAGAGGCACAGTAGAAGCATCTACACTCCTGCCCTCACGTCCAAAAGAATACCCAACCATTCAGACCTAAAGAGATTGGACAGGAAGTGAGACCATGTAAGTTTAGGAATGGGGTTTGACAGGAATACATCACTTTATTTTCTCAAACAGTTTTAGGGTCTTTCCCTATGTTTGCTTCACTCCTTCCACATTTGCAGTAAAACCCTCCCCATGCATTTTACTGTAAATTTGAGCCTAAGTATTTCCTTTGGGTACTCTATTGTCAGTGATTACAGTATCAGAGGTGATAAGATGCTTACCAGCTCCATTAGCACATGAACTTTTAGCTTCAGCACAAATATTCAACTCAATTTTTCTGTTGTGTGAGTCATTGATGGTATAGCCAGACTCTCGCTTTAGTGATGTCAAATCAAAGAGGTGGCCTGTAGGCAGATCAGGGAACTATTTAATCATTTTTTTCAGATTCAAAATCAAGACATTCCTTTGTATTAAAAGCTTTCAGTAACTTAAATTCGTAGAGAGGTCAACCAGCCTCTAATCACCTGCTAGCTCGAAAGGCAAACAGTTACTAATTCATATTAATAATTAGAGATAAAACTAGTTTCAGAAGTATAGACTATTTATGTTCCAAGGCACATTGCAGTACCTTTCAAGATATTTCTACCCACCAATAAGCTTGATAGTCACTATCCAGATGACTGCCCTTTTCTAATGAAGTCCCTCAAGAACACAAACCAGCAGTGCCGCATCCAGCAGCCTCTTCCACATACAAAATCCTGAGGCCTCCTCCTTACCTGTTGCAGGGTTGGTTACCCGGCAGTCATTTTGCACATTGCTTTTAAGAGGACACGCAGCAGCGGTGAACCATAAGAAGGTATATTCACAATCTTCAATGGCCATTATAAGCTCTGGCTTTGATTCCTAAACATGAAACAGTGGAGAGAGGGACATCTCTACAGAGTGATACTGCAAGATTTCATGCCACAGGGTTATCCCTGAAGCCTGTAGCTGAGCTCAATTCAAATGCCAGTCCTAGGACTTAGACTGTCATGGTCCAATGAATTAACCCAAGGACAGGTTATTCAACTGTGACTATTTCATATACACAGGAGAACAGAACCATTACCAGGGGCAATAAAATTCATGAGAGGAGAGCTAAAAGCAGCCTAGCCGTGCAACAGGAAATCCAAAAGGTGAGGGTGAAACATCTTAAATAGAAGAGTACTTAATGGCAAGGCATACAGATGTGCAAGAGTTAAGAACTACATAGGCAATAGCATTATTTACTATTTGAAATGCTTTCCAAGCTGCAATACATTAATCTTCAAGACACAAACAGACAATTTGAAGCTATTACAGAAGATAAAATCTGTGCTAGCAGATTGTACAAAAAAAAAAAAAAATCTTTTAAAACTGCTTAGCATCTAAAGTTCAAATACTTATACGCCAGTCTGCTTACAAGGCTGGCTCCCATCCAATTACAGATGATTAGGGAATCGGTAAGAACTGCCCAACACTCTCCATATATATATATACAGCAGGATGAACAACTCATAAAAACATAAAACGCCACCAGACCAGAAGAAGCCCACTTACAATTTTGCTTTCATCACATTTAAGGCGCAATATTGTTGTTTTCTTGTGAATTTTATTGGGACACTGCTCCCCATTAATGTATTTCAGAATAGAAATGCCATTTTCCCACCGGGGACCATCAGCCACTTCCCCAAGACTTGTACATTTTGCACCCTCCATGAGGGAGGCAGCCGCATCAGAAGGACAGGAACCTATATAGATGAACAAAAACTGCATTATTACTCCAAATGTTGTTAAGGCTTACTTGCCTGGAATAAAACTTCACTACTATACTTTCAGGTATGTCATGGCTGATCGATCTCCAAGCCACTGCCCAAACCATACTCATCAGGTGTTTTTTTCCCCAAAGTCACAAGTAGCAGCAACTGCCTCACTTCACTCAAGGTCATGCAGAAAGTAGTGGCAGCTACTACTGGGGAAGTAGACCACTACACAGAGTGAAAGGCTAAAGTTTGTTACCTGGTCTTCCACAAAATGTGGAGTCAGTTAGAAGATGCCATAGAGAAAATTCTGAAGTTAAAGATTAAAATAATCTTGGCGCAAGATGTTAAGAGCTATAGCAAACTTTGGATAAGGATGGAAGAGCTAGAGTACTGAAGTTATCAAGAGAAGATAAGAGCTGCTAATGAATCTCATTTGCCAAGTAGATGGAAATCAGACCCACAATCTACCCTTCCTTCTGGTGCTGAAATTACACTGTCTCCACATACTTTGCGTTGTGAATTTTTTTTTTTTCTCTCTGAACAACAGCCAGGAGTACTGTTCTACCACTTGCTTCTCCTAGCTACAGCAAGAATTTTATTTTGCTCTTACGTGCAGCACCATATGGTACTAAGGGCTTGCAGACATTAATATAGTATTTCTGTGCAGAAGCAGATAGAGCAATTGCCTCCCAATTCTCTCTATGCCGTGTCAGAGATGACAAGTCATAGAAGTTTCCTTCATCATCCCTGTAAGACAGACAAAGGATTCAAATTAAGAGGCATTTAAAAAAAAAAACAAGTAATTATAAGTTACAATTCTTAACGTTACTACAATAACTTAATAACCTAGTAACTCCATAAGCAGAGTATCACGCTGAAAGAGAAATCTACACCAGACTCACTGCTCCCTACAAACCTCAGATTCAGTACAGAGATATACGTATCTGCACCAGCCATCCCCACAGTAACTGTCCACGTGCACATATCCCTCAGCCAACGCAAGAGTAATTCTGGCTTTTCACTGAAGCATGCAGGCTTTCAGTGCATGGCAAGCACAAATGCACACTTACAGTGGATTGTTTTACCTATATATTCTACCTGTAGAAACCTATCACAATGCCAGATGTTAACACTCTGGGTCAGTTATTAGCCACATTTGATCCCACCTATCAAATCTTAATGAGCTAATACTTGGTTATGACAGAAATAGATGATGTTTTTTCTTAGAGCTTTGCTTGGTGGAAGTTCCAAACAGACAGCAGTTGTATTCTCATTTAAATTAGCTACAGTTAACTAATACCTAGACACTTGTAACAACATAACATACTCAGAGTTCAACCATCCATAACTGCATATACTCACCAGTTCACTTTGATGCTAAGCTTATTCCCCAGAAAAAGCTCAAAGAAAGTATTTTTCTTCAGCAGAATTAGTTTTAGGAAGTACAAATTGCAAAAGTTACATTGCATTGGCATTGAATGCCACATTAGCTGGTTACTGACTAAGTCAAAATACAACTGAAGTGGCAGTATTGCACTAAGTAGCAATAAGGCTGTATTTGTTTCTGTCACCATACAGCTCTATTTCAAACTTGTGGAAACAACTTACTTGTAGGAGCACTCAGTAGATTTAACAGGTGGGCAAGCATACTGAGTATGCCATTCAAACATGTAGGTGCAATCTGGAGTTTCCTTCAAAAATACAGGCTGAAAGAACAATACACAAAAGGAATTTACTTTCTCATTTAGACACACTGAAGCTACCAAAATGTCTCAAGCTTTCTTCAAGAAGATCCAGGAACTTGTATTTACATATTATCTTAGAGCCACACTATGCCTCTGACCAGCTGAAAGCATGGTTTCTCCCAAAGCTGAGTTTATCCACACATACACTTCTGATAAAAGGGCAGCTATTAGGAGCTTCTGCCTCCTCCATGAAATAAGGGGAAGAGAAAAAGTAACTCTAGACACCACTGTTTAAGAACAGGAAGGAAAGCACAAGTACAGAGAGAGATACTGAAAGCAAGTAAACAGCTTATTTTGGTCTGGCCATAAAATACCTGCTTTCCTGCAGATTTACCCTCTACCTTTTATTTCTTACAAAGAAACTGCTGTTATTTCTGGGAGAAAATCCCTTCCCATCATCTCCAAGAGCTTTGCTAATGGCAGGCATCCCTTAAAAGGAACAATATGCCCTGACTTTCCTGGGGCATGACAAAGGTATCTTCCTTAAATAGGAAATTCAAAACATTACTCATTTTTTAATACTTCAACAGGACCTTGCAATCTCCTGCCTGATCTGTGAATGATTAGGCAGTCCTTGAAGGAAGCTAGTTCATGTTCTTCACCTTACCCTCACACACATTAAGAAGAGGGCAACTGTGGAAGACAGTATGTACAGGAAGCGTATGTTTTGAAACTAACCTCAGAAGTAGTCTTGTCACAATAGAATAATATAGCAGTTGATCGTTCATATATTTTATGACATTTTTCTCCATTGGTGTAATTAATCATTATTAAACCATTTTTGAAAGTCAGTTTTTCTGTAAGCAAGCCTAGAAGCAAAGAGTTGAGAAAAGTAAATAGCTAATCCAGTAAATACACAACTGCAGTAATGCCTCTGGCAACAGGGTTCCATAGACAGCAATAACATGCACAATAAAGTACTGATAGAAAGATCTCAGCCCTCCTCTGAAACTTGTGACCTACTTATGGAATGAGTACTAATGCAGTACAGTAGGGTTGAGCTCATTCCTAATTGTGTATCAAGATAACTATATACATAACATTTTATTTGCACATGAAGCAAAAGTGGTAGGGTGCTTTATCTTGTAAGATGTACAAGATTAGCAAGAACCCCTCTTGTATGACACAGTAGCTTCAATTACGCCCTGGTTAATCTACCCATTCTCTAAGTTCCTTCCGACCAAGTGCTATACCTGCTACTTTTCTGAAAGTATTGTCCATCTTCTTTACTTGACATGATGACACAGCATGAGCCTCTGGTTTGCAAGGTTCTGTTATTTCTCCACAGATTCTGAAGTAGTAGTCATACTCATCTGTACTCACTTTTATGTCTTTGTTGGAAAGTGGCTTCAGATTATAAACATGACCGTATCTTGGATCTTTCACCTGGCAATCCTCTCCTTTAAAGAAAAGTTAAGGATATAAAATACAATTTAATATCTATGAGTTGTGCAACATACACTTAGGACAATTAAGGCTTACTGGCACAAATAAGACCATGAAAATAAGTAGCTGGCACTTTAGGGCAGTGACACTTTCAGTCCAGCCAAGCAGCTCATTTCAGGAAGTCACCAGTATCTAGAACTATGAGACTAAGCTACAAATGGAACATTTCTTTTATAACTGCCACTAAAGCAAGATGCAAAAATCACACTGTAGTTCAAAAACTACCTCAAAGTGGCCTCACAGGTTCTTCCTTCAGCCATGCCGAAAGTTAAGTACAGAACCAGACACACTAAGTCCAGCACTTGCTTAATTACCCAGAAAGAACAGCAAGGTCACAAGGCCAAAGCAAAAGCTGTCAGATATGTCCGTCTCGCATCTTCTTTTAACAGCTATAAGTTTGCCAAGTTAGGAAATAATCGATCATAGGAAACATCAGCTACAGCTTTACACATCTACCAAGATGTATACAGAAAAGGTTTGAGAAAATTCTACTTCCACAAGTCTAATCAGCCGATACACATCAGTAATTTTGCTGATGATCAAGTCCTCAGTTTTAAATTGATCCTCTGCTCAATATTCGGAAGCTTTTAAAGAAACATCAGATTGTATCACATGATTATTATGCTCCGCTCAACCATCCAACAAGTTGGTACCAAGTTAAAGACAAGACATCAGTTTCCTTCCCTTCAAAATCACAACTCTTGTCACCACTGTCCTGCACAGTAATTCTGTGCTACAGAGCAGTAGCTTGTAAACATTCCTCTCATGCCACATGAGATCACTGGCAGTTTCAGTAACATCTAGGATTCCTGCAACAGATCCTTTACAGGAAGTCTGGATGTTTCGTAAGGCATTATCTACAAGTTACAAAACAAAGCCCTCAAGGGCAGGGAAGATACCTGTACATTCAACTTCCCATCTAAGAGCCAGCCAAGTACCAGAACCTGTGATTCCTTCTTGCATGTCCTGGAGTCAACTGTAAACTCTGATACTCTCCCGCTGTTCTCTCCCTCATTGTCTAACAAGAGTCAAGTTTGCAGTATAGCTTCCAGCCTTCAGTGGGGGACAGGGAATGACTTGCCAGGCATAGGATCAACTGCATTCTCATGAAACCTGATGCTTTAAGATTTACAAGACACTAGCAAGTCTGCCTGTGGTTTAACAAGGTAGTGCTATGACTTCTCAGAGGCAGTATTATTACTTCATCTCCTTTCCCTAGACAGGGAAGTACATTTTCCTGTCATCCTAACTTGTACTTTTAATGTTAGAAGTAACTCTTAGTTGGCTTAAAGCTCAGAAGAGACACCCCTCCACAAGCCAGCACCTTTTACAGAAAGATTCCCAGGGCAAGAAACAAACATAGCTTCACTAATTCTTGTACAGATTTGTTTGGTATTTTAAAGCTTAAATAACTACACTTACCTTCTGCTTTGTGAACAGGACATGCTGCCAAGGTTCTCCAAACAAACACAAACTCACAGTCATCCTCTTGCTCAAACACTGGTGATCCCTAAAGAAAAGAGCCATACGAAGGAGGCTTACTAAGTCAAGTCTCAAAAAATCGCAACTCTCAGAATGTACATACAGAAACCTTTTCTATTGCAGCTGAACAGTCTAAGATCTCTGTTACCAGATTTCAGTATTCATTTTCAGCAAACAGCTGCTTCTGGTGGCTCACCAGGATTCCATGATAGAGTTCACTGTTGTGTTCTACAGGCTTAGGAAAGCAGCTAGAAGAAGAGACAAGGGAAAAGCCTGTATACAAGAGACTACTTTTTATAACCAGCCTCTCCATTCCAAGAGGAATAGAATCATAAGAATAGTTTGGGTTGGAAGGGACCTTTAAAGGCCATCTAGTCCAAACCCCCCTGCAGTGAGCAGAGACAGCTTCAACTAGACCACGTTGCTCAGAGCCCCGTACAACCTGACCTGGAATGTTTCCAGGGATGGGGCATCTACCACCACTCTGGGCAACCTGTGCCAGTGTCTCACCACCCTCAGTGTGAAACATTTCTTCCTTAGATCTCATCGAAATCTGCTCTCTTTTAGTTTAAAGCCATCAATCCTGGTCCTATTGCAACAGGCCCTACTAAAAAGTCTCTCCCTATCTTTCTTATAAGCCCCCTTTAAGTAATGGAAGGCTGCAAGAAGGTCTCCCCAGGGCCTTCTCTCCTCCAGGCTAACAACACCAACTCTCTCAGCCAGTCCTCACAGGAGAGGTGTTCCACCCCTCAGATCATTTTTGTGGCCCTTCTCTGGACCCGCTCCAACAGCTCCATGTCTTTCCTGTGCTGGGGGCTCCAGAGCTGGACGCAGGACTCCAGGTGGGGTCTCACCAGAGCAGAGTAGAGGGGCAGAATCACCTCACAGCCTGCTGGCCACGCTACTTTGGATGCAGCCCAGGATAAGGTTGGCCTTCTGAGCTGTGAGCACACATTGCTGGCTCATGTCCAGCCTTCCCTCCACCAGTACCCCCAAATCCTTCTCGGCAGGGCTGCTCTCAACCCCTTCGTCCCCCAGCCTGTACTGATACTAGGGGTTGCCCCAATCCACGTGCAGGACCCTGCACTTGGCCTTGTTGAACCTCATGAAGTTCACATGGGCCTATTGCTTGAGCTTGTCCAGGTCCCTCTGGATGGCATCCCATCCCTCAGACACGTCAACCATCCCACTCAGCTTGGTGTCATCTGCAAACTTGCTGAAGGTGCACTTGATCCCACTGCCTATGTCATTGATGATGGTATTAAAGAGTACTGGTCCCAAGACTGACACCTGAGGGACACCACTCGTCACCAATCTCCATCTGGACACTGAGTCATTGACCACTACCCTCTGGATGTGACCATCCAACCAACTCCTCATCCACCAAACAGTCTACCCACCAAATCCCCCCTCTCCAATTTAGAGAGAAGGATGTTGTGGGGGACAGCATCAAAGACCTTACAGAAGCCCAGGTAGATGACATTGATAGCTCTTCCCTTGTCCACAGATGTGGTCACTCCATCACAGAAGGCCACTAGGCTGGTCAGGCAGGACTTGCCCTTGGTGAAGCCATGCTGGCTGTCTCGAATCACCTCCCTGTCCTCCATGTGCCTTACCACAGCTTCTAGGAGGACCTGTTCCATGATATTCCCAGGCACAGAATTGATGCTGACAGTTCTGAAGTTCCCAGTGTCCTCCTTTTGACCCTTTTTAAAGATGGGTGCAATGTTTCCCTTCTTCCAGTCTCCAGGGACTTCACCTGACTGCCAGGACTTTTCAAATATCACGGAGAGTGGCTTGACAACTACATCAGCCAATTCCCTCAGGACTCTGGGATGCATCTCATCAGGTCCCACAGACTTGTGCATGTTCAGGTTCCTCAGGGGCTCATGAACCTGACCTTCTCTTACAGTGGGGGACTTCGCTCCTCCAGTCCCTGTCTTGTGGTCCATCCACTCGACAGGTGTGGGAAGAGAGATTGCCCGTGAAGACTGAGGCAAAGAAGTTGAGTACCTCAGTCTTCTCCTCCATTGTTACCAGTTTGCCAGTCTTGCTCATCAGGGTGCAGGGGGGATATGCTTTCTTTGACTTTCCTTTTCCAGCTGACATACTTGTAAAAGCCCTTCTTATTACTCTTTGCACCTCTTGCCCAGTTCAGCTGCAGCTGCGCCTTGGCCTTCCTGACCCCATCCCTACACAACTAGGCAGCGTCCCTGTACTCAACCCAGGTTACATGTCCCTGTGATCAAGTCCAGTATCACATCCCCTCTGGTAGGGCTGTCTATAACCTGGCTTACGAAGTTACCCTCAATGCATTCCAGGAGTCTCCTGGATTGCCTACAGCTCGCTGTGCTACTTTTCCAGCAGATGTCAGGGTGGTTGAAGTCCCCCAGCAGGATCAGAGCCTGCGAGTGTGATGCCTCCTGTAGCTGGAGTGAGGCGGCTTCATCAATAGGCTCCCCTTGATCAAGCAGCCTGTAGTAGACACTGACCACAAGGTTTTGTTGCCTCAGTCCCCAATTCTTACCCATAAGCTTTTGACCTGCTCATGACTATTCCTCAGAGACAGCTCTTCACACTCTATCCATTTCTTGATGTGGAGGGCAACGCCTCCACCCTTCCTTTCTCACCCGTCCCTTCGGAACAGCCTGTAGCCGTCAATAACTGCACTCCCATCATGGGATTCGTCCCACCAAGTTTCAGTAATGGCAACCAGGTCGTAGCCTTCTTGCAGCACAGTGACTTCCAACTCCTCCTGTTTGTTGCCCATGTTGCATGCATTGGTGTAGAGGCACTTCAGCTGGGCTGTGGGCCATGTCGGCCATTCTTCCTTCTTAGAGGAACACCCCTTAATTCCTTTGAGGTGTTTTGCCAGTGTTTCCCTGTTGGCTCCTATTACCTCAGGAGCCCCTGGCTCATCTCCATAAGACTTCAAGTGTGCTGCAGTGTACACAGCACATCTCAGAGCAACAGGCTGAGGGCCATTGCTAGCACCCTGTCCCTCTAAGCTTGGCGTGTCATCCCACAGCTTGTCACAGGCAAGCCTGACATTATCCCCTCCCCTGTCAAGTCTAGTTTAAAGCTCTGTCTAAATAAACACTGTCTATTTTGTTATAGTAAGTCAAAGCTTTAAATCCTCATTAATAGCAATTGGCACAGAAAATTACCATTGTTTGATCACACTGGAAGATTATACGTGTAGAATAACGTTGCTTATTTTTGCATGTGTCACCATTCAAGTAAATAATGCTTAATGACCCATCAGTAGCAGCCTGTGGGTTTATCTGAATGACTCCAAGGTTCTTGCTTTTATCAGTGTATTTCACACAAGATCCTATGGCACCACCTACAGGAAAAAGAAAAAGCCTGTATTTTAGTTCAAAGCTTTGACAACTAGAGTTAACTTTATTGTAAAATAATGTAATGATTGTAGTTTTAAGAAAGCTTTAAGTATTAAGGCAGACTTCAGTTATCCTGAAGCATAACACAGAAGAAGTGTTTTCATAACTACAGTTAGAGACATTGCACACCTAAAGCCTTTGAGGAATAGAAAAAGTTACTGTCCTGCATTTACCAAAATCTTTAAAACTGCATTTACTTATCTGCTCCCACAGACTAACAGAAAACTACAGCAACAGGTTAAATAAATCAAACTGGCTAGAAGTGCAATAAGACATGGCGTAAGTGTCTCATTTTGGCCTCATCATTAGGAGGCTTCAACAACATTTAATTTTCCTTTCTTCTTCTTCAAAAAAAAAAAATCAATTAAGGATACTGGCAAATATTGCCTTCTATGCATTTTTCCCTAAATGCATTCCCACACATCTCAATGCAAGAATCCTGATGAGCATTAAGACTGCTCTCAGTTTGAGAAAGTCTGTTTACTATAACCTTGACATACCTCACCCAGGTCTATGCAAATTCAGTGACTGAATGGGCAGGATTCAAGAAATCCTACTAACATAACCAGGGATGTCATTCTGCATGTAACGTCTTACATCAGAAGTCACAAGTTAAGAAATGCTTGCCACTTGGCTTACCAGGGCATCCAGGCACATAGGGCAAAGGCTTGCAGACATTCAAGAAAAATGTTCGCTTCTTTGCTTCCTTTGAAGTGTCTACAGCAACCCATGGTTCACTCTCTTTGCTCAAGTCACTTAAGTCATACTCATTGCCAGCAGCATCTGAAAGATATGTGGTACATACAGTAAGCTGAAAGACAGCCTATTAGATAGTCACAGAAGTATTGGGTTTGAAATGACACAAGTTTCACTGATGAATACGCATAATTCAAAGTAATTTTCAGAATCACATTAAATATCCGTTACGAGGACGTACTGTTTCCATAAAAAAATGTCACTACACCGAATGTAGAACAGAGTTCCCTTTACAGTTACTTCCCACAAGTAACTACTCCGTAATTCACAGCTGTGTTTTTCCAGAGGCCAATACTAAATTAACCCATTTCCTTTGGAGTTGGGCTGAAGCAGCAACCTGGTCACGATAAAGATTAAATGTTTTCAAAGTAATTACCAGGTCTCTTGTGTATATCACTATGTTTCACATCAGCTTCTTGCCTGTCTTCGTAAGTTAAACCTGCTTCAAACAACTTACCTCCTCTCCCTCTCTACAATTTCCATGAAGACTTCAAGTCTTATAAATGTCTTCACAACAGCCCTTATTCCTAAAGCCTTCTTCCACAGAAGTTTGTTTTCAGTTAATTCTTCCAACATTTGTTGGACAGAGCCCACACAAATTCCAGGTACTTACCTGTAACCTGGCAGTCTACAGGAGCAGGAGCACAGGCGAGAGCTGTGTGAAACTCAAAAAAAGTATCATGGATGTTCAGCACAGTGTTTATCTCTTCACGCACAAACTTAAGCTCTCCAGGATATGAATCATTACAAATGAAAGTCACTGTGAATGTGTCCGATGTTCCTGTAAAACAAACACTTTGCTGCTGCTCGTTCACCCAGGAATATTTTAATTTAAGTTCAAGCTAACACTTGATTTTAAAATGTTCTAACAGTTTCATATTGCTAATTGCTTCAAGGAGAACACTGTCTTATTGCTTATGTTTTTTTAAATTGTAAATACACAGGCCTTTAGAGACCTGTGCTAAATTAAAACTGTCTCTCCAAATGGGAGACCAGAGTGCCTTGACATATTTCAAGAGCTTAATTACCTTCACTGAACTGTGCTTCCTAGGTCTTTGACATGATGTATTTGAAGAAACAGAAAACTTACCAAGTCTGTTGTACCAGCAGCCTCTAAACTACATCTACATAGCAAGGTTTTGGGGTTGGGGGTTTTGTTTGTTTGTAAGAAGTTCAGCATAAGGACTGCAGAACAAGTAATACCAACGCTATTTAAGCAGCATATGTTAATTTCTGTT